GTTACATCCAGGTGGAAGGAAGGTCAGGAAAGAGATAGATGATACGATGCGCGATTTTAAGGTAAGTAAGGTAAAGGTGAACAACGTATGAGTTACTCATAGGAAGAAGATCGTAAATAGTCCATACTTTAGATAAAAGGCCCAGAAGCACGAGGATTCAATGTCCGAGAATGATAGCAGCATCTTCACCGGAATATCTTCCAACCTACAGTTTCTAAGTATCGAGAGGTCTAGTTAAGAGAGTAAATAAGAGTTAGAGATGATATGATATCTCGCTTGATGTTCAAGAATAACACAAGGAAATCTGTGATACAAGCACGTTGAAAGGAGGTTGCGAATAGTATAAATGGATATGCGTAAGTGGAAAATTAAAGTATGGTAAAGCGACAAGGTTTTAGGAAGTCGGGAATAAGGATAAGAAAGGGCGAGTGAGAAGGCGACGAGAATGGATAAGTCCTCACGATTAAGCCTATGAAAACAAGAAGAGCTAATGGTTTCTCTAAGGTATACAAAGCTCAGTATAGCCTGGATGAACTCAAAGGGGTCTAAGACTAATGGCATTTAGAAGAAATGGAATACTGCCCTAGTAGTAGAATGAGGTTGTAGTTGTGATGGATAAAGAATGACGTTTGTACTTTCGATTGAGTAATGATTTGAAGAGGATTTCACGAATTGTACGGGATTAAAATTAAAATAGCCACGTAAGGTAAGCCACACAAGAATGCTATGAAATACCGTTATGGGAGTATAGTATCGCCCTAGGTGGATCAGAAAAATCACTTCAAATATTTCACAATCAACGCAAGGCCCTAGTGATTACATAAGAGGTTTCAAGTTATCAACAATACATTGTAGATCAATATTGAGGTGAATCAACAATGGATGGACAAAAGTTACAAAGTATGAGATAAGATTAGACCGTCATTCTAAAGTTAAACAGTAATGAGGAAACATTAAAGGACTTAAATTTATATATATGGAATGAGCAACGAGAGTAAGCTGGGATATGGTAGCAGACCTCAGCCACGATAAACTAAAGTAAGAGTTATGGCAGTAAATTCATACGGATGGTTAAACGGTCCTATGCAATGAGATATAACAATATTTGTGAATTCAACCAAGTACCGAGCGAAGAACTTCAGTATAGTCATAAAGACCCAAAGGGACGTCTTATCAAGCTCTACATGTGAAGCCTAGAGATTAGGCACACTTACAAGATCAGAACTATACATGCTGCATGATGAAAGGTAGCAACGGTTACGAGATTGGAAGGAATCCGACTAAAAGTTGTGGTGTGAGAAGGAGGCCTATGGGGGGATGTCCTAGACTTTGGACTTATTCACAGAACAGTCGCCTAGATAGCAAGGAAAGTTCTAAAGTGTTCAGAAGATATAAGTTAAGAAAATGATAAGAGCATTAGCGAACATTCGAGGACGAATGTTCCAAAGAGGGGAATGATGTTACACCCTGGAATATTACGTCGATATTACGTCCCGTAGTATTATATTATGACAATGTTATGCTCTGCAGCAATATGTTACGATGATGTCACCTTCTACAGTAATATATTATGATGATGTTACGTTCAGCAGTATTAAGTTACGACAATGTTCTACCCAGCAGTATTACATTACGGTAATGCCACACTTCGCAGTATTAAGTTACGAAGATGTTGCACCCTATAGTATTGTACGTTGAATTTGTCGTAAGGTAATTGACAACAGTCCAAGTAAAAGATTATTTGGAGAATATTAGTATTATGCTATTTCACAAGCGATTAGTAAATTCATGAAGGTGAAACGAGGAGCAAGTCAAAGAAAGTGAATTTTGTCCAAGTTTGGCAATTTGGGGTAAAATACGGCCGGAGCTAAAATACACAGTATTTATGGACTAGTGTCATGCGAGGTACCACATGACCAAACTAGTAAGGTGTATAAGGTATGTGAAAAGTGACTAATATTTTAAGTAAGTGGTAGTAATTCTCAATTTTGCTGGTAATTGGTTAATTACCGGGTAACGGGACATTACCTAGTTAATTAATAAGTGGTGATGGATTATTTGAAGTCTTGGAGAGATAAGCCTGCCAAAAACGTGGCAGCCATTAAATTAACCAAACTAAGTGACTAAGAGTCCAAAATGCTTAGGTGGCTACCTAAGGTAATGTGAGAATTACAAAACAAGACTTGTTATAAGTCTTATTTTCCATTGGAATAAAGACTTGTCTTTCATTTGAACTAAGACTTGGACAAGAAAATTCATAAACGTTCAATACCAAGTAAGAATCCTATATACCATTTTCTAGCTTCAAATTGCTTCGAAAGCCAAGTTCGATCAAATGCTTCATAAAGCAGAAGCTTGATTCTTTCCAAATAATTCAATGAACTGGAGCTTTGTTCGTTCAAGGATTCAAAGACAGAAGCAAAAATTCAATCCGATTTTGGGGTTCTAAATTCAATCCACAAAGGTTTCCAACAAAAATTGTTAGAATCGTAGCAACGTAAAATTTTACGGTTCCAAAAGAGTACGGTGCAATCTTCAAGAATATTATACGGAGTTTTTCTTACTCCATGTATGTTAAGACTATCCCTTCTTTATTTTGGCATGATCCATATGATACGAACGAAACGTGCAAATACACAAATTTCATGAATGACTCTATTCATAAAAGTATTAGAGGTATCTATGTTCTTGAATTTCCATGTGTCATAATATTTTATCATATGTTTATGCGTCTCAAAAAAAAAATACGAAAGTTGAAAAGAGTTTACTTTATGATATTGCTCAAAGACAAAATGGTCTTATGAAATTCCAAAAGATTTTATTAATGTACTTTTCATGCATTTCATAAATGTGCATTGACCCATGACCATATGGCGTTATATACACGTATATAAGTAAATATATGTATATGGGATATGGGAAAAGGTTACGGCGTTATATATGCACCACCACCTGATCAGCTGGTATATGATGATGATCTTGCCCACAGTGGCTGAAATATGTTTCAAACGGCGTTATATATGCGTATATATGTATGTATATATACGTATATGGGATATAGGAAAGGTTATGGAATTATATACGCACCACCACCTGATCAGCTGGTATACGATGATGATTTTGCCCACAATGGCCGATATGATATGATGTGATGCCCTTAGAGGCTGATGATGTTATGAAACATGTACCTATGCACGACATGACATTCATATGCATACGCATGATGCTAAAAGTAATTTATGATTTACTAAGTTATTCAGACTTACAGGTTGAGTCATGTACTCTATATGTCTTCCATGTCTCTTATGTATTTATTTATGTGCCTTACATACTCGGTACATTATTCATACTGACGTCCTTTTTGCCTGGGGACGCTGCGTTTCATGCCCGCAGGTCCCGATAGACAGGTAGGGAGTCCTCCAAGTAGGCTATCAGCTCGGTGGAAGACGTTGGTGCTCTCCATTTGCTTCGGAGTTGCTCGTTTGGTTAGTATGATTTAGACGTGTATTGTTTGCTATGGCGGGACTCTGTCCCGACCTTTATGACATTTATGTATTCTTAGATGGTTGTAGACATATGTCGTATACGTAAAAGATTGTACGGACTTGTCGGACTATGTTTTGAGTTTATAAAGGATCATGTCGGCCTATTAGGCTTCTATGTCATGTGTATATGATGATGTAATAAGAAAGATACGTTACGTTGGTACTCGGTTGAGTAAGGTATCGAGTGTCCGTCGCGGCCCATCGATTTGGGTCGTGACAATTTCCTTCCTACATAACTCTTAGTTTTTCTCTTGATTTTATTTTCCTAGCATGTCAACATACAAGCCGAAGCAAATAAATGTACAAATAGCACATAAGATGAATCAGAATAGTCTTTCATTTCGGGTACACTTGTCATAGACGGACCCAACCCCTATGTTGAGTCCCCTAAGTCAAATGCACATGATGCAGACAAAAGTTCCTACTAGGGATCCGGCATGAGGCTATGTTATTCTACGTTTAAACCTAGGGTTGTGTTCTTGACCTGGCTTACCTGAGCGGACAACTCGAGCCGAAGAGGGAGCAACGTACTGGGAGCACGAAAGTCTACTTGGTCTTGTTGCTGGCCCAGCCTCGTTCTATTTGGTATAACTTCTAATAGAAAAAGTGGGCCATGCAAACGTGTGCACCATTTTTAGAAGACGCAGAGGGGTGGCGTAAGAAGACATTTTAATACAATTCTAACCATATCGAAATGGTAAATAAACAACAGTTAGCACATTAGGTTCATAAAAATACGGTAATATTAACAATAAATAAAGCCAAATAAAATAATATTAAAAAGCTCGAATTCTTGAACCCTGAACCAGAAGTTCTGGGTTCTTGTCCCCAGCAGAGTCGCCAGAGCTGTCACACCTCCTTTTTTCCGAGGGGGATATAAGGGAGTTTTTTCAATTAAAGTGACATTGATTGCAATAAGATTATTTATTTAAATCAGAGTCACCACTTGGGATAGTTTATTGATGTTCCAAGTCACCGGTTTAAAATCCCGAATCGAGAAAATTTGACTCTATTTATGGTCTGCGAACACAGAAATCTAGGTAAGGAATTCTGTTAACCCAGGAGAAGGTATTAGGCATTCCCGAATTTTATAGTTTTAGCATGGTCGCTTTAATCATACTTGGCTTAAATAAATTGTTTAATTATTCATTTAGAACATATGTGCGTTTGCCTCTTTTAATTAAGAAATTATCTTAAAACAGGTCACACGCATGTGTACCCATTAGTTTGGCGCGTCAAAAATCATGTCAAGCGTACGTGTCCACAAATAAAGAGAGAAAGTTTGGTCGAAGTTGCGAACGCATACCTCGATTTATTTTAAAAATCATTATTATGTCACGCAAACGTGTACACAATCACGATGATAAATTTAAAATGCACATAAAGCATACTACTGTCACGACCCAAAATACCGGTCGTGATGGCGCCTATCCCATTACTAGGCAAGCCAACCAGTCCACTAACCACAACCCATTTCCATTAGTAAGAAAACATTTCCAACACGAGTTTTAAACACCGATTTCATAATAAATGTTTAAAATGACAGAAAATATACGGAAGGCAAAATAATAATAAACTACATAGCCCAACTGATCTGGTGTCACGAGTCTAGAGCCTCTAATGCAAGTCCGAACATCCTACTACATAGATAGTCTAGAAAATGCTGAAAAGATAACAAGATAGAAGGGAGAGAACAGGGTTACGAACGCCATACAGCTACTTCGAAATCCCCGACAAAAAACTGAACCAGCTGAATAATGCTCACTCGGCTGCTCGGGCACCTGGATCTGCACACAAGGTGCAGGGAGTAACGTGAGTACGCCAACTCAGTAAGTAACTAAAGTAAATAAGGTCTGAAAGGAGTGACGAGAAGTTCAAAAATACATAACGGAATAACCAACGAAATAACATGTCATCTTTACAGTTCAAAAATCAGTTTTTGTTATAAAACCACATTTCCAGTTTAAACATTTGGAACCAATTACTTAGCAGTATATCAAACAGAGGCTTATTTAAAAGAAAATGAAATCAGTGAAAACATCATGACAAGGCTTCTCGAGCAAGGAATCACTCAAAATCTGGCCCCTCGGGCAGCCTCTCCGTCACTCGTGACTCAACTCTCGTCACTCAGTACTCACTCTCAGCACTCAGCTCATTTATATCTCATAATAATAGAAATCATAGTAACCGTTGCGGCGTGCAGCCCGATACAATATATATATATATATATATATATATATATATATCGATGCGGCGTGCAACTCGATCTATATAAGTATCGATGTTGCATGCAGCCCGATCCATAATATATACATATAATATCCTCACAATTGAGTTCTCAACATCTCTCAGTCTTTAACCTCACAACCTCTCGGGCACAACAACATGAATTAGGGAACTCAGCCCAAACAATCCTCACAATTAGGAGTAAAGCGATAAAACCAATTTTAGCTTTTAAATAGGTAAAACACGACTGAGGATATGCTTTTAGCAAGTAAAGTGAGGAAAAACAATCAAAATGCCACCAAGGGTTTCTACAGGTCGGCACAAGGCCCCAAACATGGCATACAACCCATAATATAGTATAAATATCCAAAATACGGAATAACATAGTATTTCCAAATCAAATACTCGGCTTAGTAGTCGCTACGGGACAGATCAGGTCGCAATCCCTACCGGTTCACACCCACGCGCTCGTCACCTAGCATGTGCGCCACCGCTTTTATCAAAACAATTCAACTATCGGGGTTTTGTACCCTCAGTTCCAGATTTACAATGGTTACTTACCTCAAACCGGTGAAAATACTACTTTGCAATGCCTTTGCCCCTCGAATCAGCGTCCACTCACGTCGAATCTATTCAAAATCAGAATCACGGCGTCAAAATATGCTAAAGGAATGAAGCCCAAGTGAAAACAATCGAAAAATACCAAAAATCCCGAAATTATCAAAACCCGAGCCCCGGGCCCACTTCTCAAAACTCAAAAATTTTCACATCATTAGATTCCTTATCTCCCCACGAGTCTATACGTATCAAGAGTACCAAAATCGGAGTTCAAATGACCCCTCAAATTCTCAATTTAAGGCCTCCTTTTAATTCCTTTAATTGCAGCCTTAATCCATGAAATATTACCATAGTAGTGTGTTTTAGGTCTAAAATCCTTACCTTAATGAAGTCTCTTTGATTTCTCTCATCAAAATTGCCCAAAGCTTCCAATTCCGAGTTTAAAAATGGTTAAACCGTTCAAAAATCGCGAAGGAAGAAATATATACATTTTGCCCAGGCTTTTCCACATCTGCAGCACACCCACCGCATCTGCGGTACCGCATTTGCGGTACCGCATTTGCGGTCAAAACTCCACTTCTGTGGAAATTCATTAATCCAGCCTAAACCGCATCTGCGGTCTACTAGCCACATCTACGACTCTGCAGGTGCGGTCCCTCTACCGCATCTGCGGTTCCAGACATTCTTCCCAAGATCCGCTTTTGCGGACAATCCAACGCATATGCGGCGCCGCACCTGCAGTCCCCAAACCGCAGGTGCGAAAACACCAGAAGCAACAAAACTTCAGCAGCTGCAATTACACTTCAACTTCCCCGTTAACCACACGAAATCATCCCGAGGACCCCCGAGTCCTCAACTAAAAGCACAAACATAACCCAATACCTTATTCAAACTTGTTCCAATCATCAAAACACCCCATACAACATCAACTCTACCAAATCACATCGGATTCAAGCCTAAGTTTCTAAAAAATTTCGAAATACGCTTTTGATCAAAAACCCAACCAAAGCACGTCCGAATGACCTGAAATTTTACACACATATCCCAATTGACACAACGAAGATACTGCAACTCTCGGAGTTCCATTCCGACCCCTATATCAAAATCTCGCCTATCAACCGGAATTCGCCAAAATATCAATTTCGCCAATTCAAGCCTAAGTCTACTCCGAACCTCCACAACCCATTCTGATCACGCTCATAAGTCACAAATCACCTCCCGAAGCTAACCGAACCATCAAAACTCATATCCGAGCCCTCTAACACATAAGTCAACATCCGATTGACTTTTCCAACCTAAGCCTTCTTAAAAGAGACTAAGTGTCTCAAACTTCACAAAACTCATTCCGAACTCAATCCGACCAACCCGATACCACAAAACATGGATAACGAAGCATAAAGAAGCTGAAATGGAGGAAATGGAGCGGTACTCATGAGACGACTGGGCTGGTCGTCACATCCTCCCCAACTTAAACAAACGTTTGTCCTCGAACGAGTCAAAAAACATACCTGAAGCCTCAAATAGGTGAGTATATCTACTCTGCATCTCCCGCTCTGTCTACCAGGTAGCCTACTCCACGGGCCGACCCCTCCACTACACTTTCACTGACGCTATATCTTTTGACCTCAACTTTTGAACCTGACGACCCAAAATGGCTATTAGCTCCATATCATAGGTCAAATCATCATCCAGCTGAACTGTGCTAAAGTCCAAACCATGAGAGGGATCTCCAATATACTTCCGGAGCATAGAAACATGAAATACCGGATGCACACTCGACAAGATGGGCGGCAAAGCAAGCTCATAAGCCACCTACCCAACCCCATGAAGCACCTCAAAAGACCCAATGAACCGCAGACTAAATTTCCCTTTCTTCCCAAATCTCATGACACCCTTCATGGGTAAAACCTTCAACAGAACCTTCTCGCTAACCATGTAGGACACATCTCGAACCTTTCTACTGGCAAAACTCTTTTGTCTCAACTGCGCTGCACGAAGCCTCTCCTGAATCATCTTTGCCTTCTCCAAAGCATCCTGCACCAAATCAGTCCCTAATAGCCTAGCCTCACTGGGCTCGAACCAATCAATTAGAGATCTACCCCGCCTCCCATACAAAGCCTCATATGGAGCCATCTGAATACTCGACTGGAAACTATTGTTATAAGCAAACTCTGCGAGCGGTAGAAACTTATCCCATGATCCACCGAAATTCATGACGCAAGCACGCAACATGTCCTCCAATATTTGAATAGTACATACGTACTGTCCGTCCGTCTGAGGATGAAAAGTTGTGCTCAACTCAACCTGAGTACCCAACTCGCTCTGTACGACCCTTCAAAACCGTGAGGTAAACTGAGTACCTCTATCCGAATGATGGAAACTAGAACACCATACAAACGAACAATCTCCCGGATATAGATCACTACCAACCGCTCTGAAGAATAGGTAGTACACATAGGAATGAAGTGCGCGGACTTGGTCAGCCGATCCACAATCACCCAAATAGCATCAAACTTCTTCAAAGTCCGTGGAAGTCCAACAACAAAGTCCATAGTGATCCTCTTCCACTTCCACTCAAGAATAACCATCTGCTGAAGTAAGCCACCCGGTCTCTGATGCTCATATTTCACCTGCTGACAATTGAGACACCCAGCTACAAATCCCACAATATCTTTCTTCATTCTCCTCCACCAATAGTGCTGTCTCAAATCCTGATACATCTTCGCGGCACCCGGATGAATGGAATACCGTGAGCTATGGGCTTCCTCCAGAATAAACTCCCGAATCCCATCTACATTGGGCACACAAATTCAGCCCTGCATCCTTAACACCCCATCATTACCGATGGTTACATCCCTGGCATCATCATGCTGAACTATGTCCCTAAGGACAAGCAAATGTGGATCATCATACTGGCGTTCTCTGATGCGATCATATAAGGAAGACCGAGAAACCATACAAGGCAACACCCGACTGGGCTACAAAATATATAACCTCACTAACCGATTGGCCAAGGCCTAAACATCAATAGCAAGGGGTCTCTCCCCAACTGGAATATATGCCAAACTCCCCATACTCACTGCCTTTCAGCTCAAAGCATCGACCACCACATTGGCTTTTCCCGGATGATACAATATCGTAATATCATAATCCTTAAGCAACTCCAACCATCTTCGCTGCCTCAAATTAAGATCCTTTTACTTGAACAAATGCTGAAGACTGCGATTATCAGTGAACACTTCACAAGATGCGCCATACAAGTAATGTATCCAAATCTTCAATGCGTGAACTATGGCAGCCAACTCCAAATCATGAACGTGGTAGTTCTTCTCATGGGGCTTCAATTGACGAGAAGCATAATCAATAACTCTACCCTCCTGCATCAACACACAACCAATACCAACTCTTGAAGTATCACAATACACGGTATAGGAGCCTAAAGCTGATGGCAAAAATAACACTGGAGTTGTGGTCAAAGGTGTCTTGAGCTTCTAAAAGCTCTCCTCACACTTGTCTAACCATACAAATGGAGCACCATTGCGAGTCAACTTGGTCAAGGGCGATGCAATAGATGAGAATCCCTAAACAAACCGGCAATAATAGCCTACCAAGCCAAGAAAGCTGCGAATCTCTATGGCTGAGGACGGCCTAGGCCAACTTTGAACCGCATCTATCTTCTTTAGATCAACCTGAATACCCTTGCTGGACACCACGTGCCCCAAGAAAGCCACTGAACCAAGCCAAAACTCACACTTGGAGAATTTTGCATAAAGTTTCTCATCCCTCAATCTCTGCAATACCACTTTCAAATGCTCCGCGTGCTCCTCTTGACTACGGGAATCCACCAGAATATCATCAATGAAGATTATGACAAACGAATAAAGATAAGGCCGGAACACGCTGTTCATCAAATGCATGAACGATGTTGGGGCATTGGTCAGCCCAAAAGACATTACCAAGAACTTATAATGACCATATCGGGTCTTGAAAGCCGCTTAATTAT